AGGAAGTGGAACCAAGCGAGTGGACGTGCGGGGCACTCTCGCGAGGGACGAGCACGCGCAGGCCGAAGGGCGAGGGTGCAAGGCGCGCGATAAGGGCAACGCGTGGGAAGCGCAAGCGCGCGTTACCGCGCGCGAGAAGGAATAGGCATGGCGAGGCGGCGCGACTCGGATAGCTAGGGTTTGGGCGCGCGATTGTCTTGCCGATCAAGCAAAGGGGATTGGCACATGATTTACTTAGCATAATTAGGAATAATAGTTTGGTTAGGATTTGGAATAAAAGGCATGTGCCTAATAGTATCTTAGTAGTATGGTAAGTCTTTATTCATTAGATATCTAGTTTCCTTAGGACTTTATTTATTTCCATGCATTAGGAATCTTCTTAGACTAGGATTAGACTTAGTTTGGCATCTATAAATATGCCCATTGTCATTCAAAATTAGCATGCAGAAAATAATGAAAAAGTCGAACCTTGTGTTCAAATTCTTGTGTTAGATTTCTTTTGAGATTTAGTGCAAAACCCTTGTCACGAGAAGGGCGTTCCACCGCATAGCTCGAGCAAGACGAGTGTGGCAAGGACATCCGTTCGAGCTGTCTCACCTATCGCGAGAAGATAAGGAGATTAACCTCCGAGTCGTCCACACCCTCGCCGAAGGCCGAGTTCACGCAACGTCCGAGGCTAGGTCACGAGTCGGGAACACGCGATTCCTCATCAGCGCGGCCGGGCGCTGTCGAGGTGCTGGGCGCGACGGGCGCCGTGACCCCGGGTGCGACGCGGACAGGCGCTGCTGGCACGCTGTCGCGGACTCGGGTACCACGCGCACGCTGGCGTGGGTACGCACTGGCATTGGGGTCGGGCACTGCCGCACTATGTGCGCCCAGTGACCAAGGTCGGCCCTTGCCGGACCTCCGGCGACTATTTCCGGCAACATGCATGACCATACATCATAATATGATAAAATAAGCGCAAATAACACATAATTCACTAGTGGACCCCGGGTCCACATGCATGCTACCCGGTAAGGCTTAAGTGGCCCGTACGAGCACCTAACTTCCGAACCAACTAAAAATTCTCAAACTTTTGATGATGGTCGAATGTTTAACATGATAAATCATTGCTATAGGGGCTAGAACTCATATCATATCTTGCATGCATGATGATTGACCTCGGTGGCTCATTTTAACATAAATTCAAGCATGATTTGACTAAGGCAATGAACTCATTTTATTCTCAAATTTTTACAGCATCAATGGTATGATATTTGAGGGTGTTTAAACAAGAAATCTCGACTTAGGCATGCTTCCTACTTAAATTTTATTTTTAAGGCATTAATTTCATTAAATTCGGAAATCATATATAATTGCATGCATGGCTCAGTTTTAACTCATGAAAAATCTTAAAATATCATAAAATAATTAATGAAATCAAAAATTCCGAGCTTACCTTGGTTGGAACTGAAATTCTCGAGCTAGGGCTTAAAATGGTGTTGGTCACGGCCTTGGGGTTTGGCTTGGACTTAGGTTGCGTTTTGCTCGTGTCAAACACCTCCAAGAGACTTAGAAAAATCTAAGGTACACTTATATAGTGCTAAGCCTCGAGAGAATGTGCTTGGAAAGGCTGAGGTGCGGTGGTGCTGGCTCCCGGGACTCCTAGCGCGCGCGGTAGGGCTGGCAGCTTTGCTCTCGGTTTTCTATCCTCTCCCTCACTATATGCTCGAGCAACTGAAGACCAAAGGGCCTCTAATGACTGGAAAATGGGTCTTAAATAGATGGGAGGGGCGGAGCTTACTAGGTGGGCTGGTAGGAGACCAAACATGTGGGAAATGGCATCACATGCGCATGGAATTTTGGTCCAAGACCTTGGACAAGCTTTGACCTAATTATGCTTGGTTTAGTGGGCATTATGGGTGGTTTTCAGAGTATTTTATTAGGTCACAAGGGGTCTGGTCAGTCTTGTCCAAGACTAGGGAACAAGGACAAAAATCTTGAATAAACAATTCATGCCCATGCTCTCCACTAAGGCTAATGATGGTTGACTTTCCCTTAACCTTGCTTAGGGGCATATTAGCTCAAACAAATCCTTATTAAGTCCTAATTTAACGCAGCTCTTGGGTCATGGGGAAAGTGGGCCGGAATTAATGCATTTGGGATCAAGAAAGTGGGCTGGCAGGCTGCCCGCTGGGCTGGGCGCGGGGACGCGGGCTGGGCGCGAGGGCGTGCTGGGCTGGCGCGGGAAGATGGGCTGCGCGCGGGAAGTGACTTTGGGCTGTGCCTAAGGGCTTCTCTTGGTATCCCAACACTTAGAAATATTTTCCAAGACTTATACCACATATAAGGCATAACATTGGACATGGCTCGGGTGGCCTCGACACGAGATGGGCGCGGGTGTGAGGGCTCGGGCGCAGCAACTCGGTTAGGCATTAGGGCTCGATTTAAAATTATGAATACTTATACTTTGATATTTTTATACACTTAGAAAAATATTCTAAGTATAAAAATACCAATACTTGGCTATGCTCGGGATTTAACTCGAAAATTAACTCCGAACCCAACTAGGGTTCGGAGTCGATAGTTACTCCAATCGACTAGCTATTATTTAACAACCCAATTTAATGGATTAATCTTAACTTAAACTTTATATAGAAATATTCCAAGGAATAATCTACTATATTTGAGCATTTAGCATATAAAATATAACTCGGATAATTCTGAAATTTACGGATTTCACTTATAGTCGAGCAGTGAAACCGTTCTTAATATTATTTCTGATTTGGGGCATTACAATAAGATAAGGCTACGTTTGAATTGAGGAATTCTAAATCTATTGATTTCAAATTTACAAGTTCAAATCCCCATGAATGTTCGGATGATAATAGAAGTTAGAGGATTTCAAATTCACGCTACATATATTGTAGTCATTATTTTGGAGGAAAATGACTCTTCAAACTAATAATTTGAAATCAACTGTTTATTCCACCACTAACGACCACACCGTCCGCGAGTATGACTTGCCATTTAGATTCATCGTCACCGCGAGTCAACACCATCGATACGATCTTGACAATTGATTTATATAATCTTTTCCACAAGTCCACTCAAGGATTTTGAAAGTAGAAAATTTGTATTTCAAAAATTCAAAATCAAGGGATTTCACATCCCTCATCCAAACGTAGCCTAATAGCCATCTCTCTCTCTCTCTCTCTCTCTCTAATTACGTTTCTTATTCAGAAGAATACATTCAAATTCTCTTCAGCCGTTCTTAAATTGTAATTCCTCTTCATGCTCTTCCTCACCCTGATTTTTGCAAATCTAGGATACAAATACAGAATATTAAACAAGAGTAAGGAAGAAGAGGAGGAGAAAAATGGTTCAACATAAATTTAAACAGGAATATCCTCTTTCTGACGTACAAAAATTCTATGGCGCCCATATGGGCACCATATGGTACCATAATCTTCACAATCTAACGCCTAATATTCATTGTGAAATTGATAGAATGGATATTAGGCGTTGGATCGTGAGATTATGGCACCATATGGTGCCCATATGGGCGCCATAGAATTTCTGACGTACAAAAATTCTATGGCGCCCATATGGGCTTCATTAATTACATTTCTTAATCATACGAATAAATCCAAATTCTCTTCAGCCCCTTTACTTAAATTGGAAATCCTCTTCATGTTTTTCCTCATACAGCCCTATTTTCAGCAAATCCAGGATACAAATACAGAATATTAAACAAAACCTGCTTGATGTAATGAAGAAAAGGAGTAGAAAAATGGGATCAACATAACAGGAACATTACTATTATGCGCTCACTTTTTGGGCATTTGACATGCAGAATAAGCTGCATTTCTTCCCTTTACAGCTAAATATGTAATGAAGTGCATGATGATAGAAATAAAGAGTCTGGAAAATGTACAACTGAACCATGGAAAGATATTCACCAACTTTTCTGGCTTTATTTATAAATAGTAGAACAGACATATTTGATGGAAATTTAATCCAAATGCAATTGTAGTTAGTTCTCAGATCTAGACTGTTCATGAACTTGAATTTGCCAAGATTAATTATTGTTCCAAGATGTTGAGGGCTATACCTTCTAAGGCATTGTATTTATGGTAACAGATAGAAGTCTATATCATGTGTGATACAGATAACACAATCCCTTGTGTAGTCGTTGTCTGTTTCTGCATCAAACTCAAAATGAGTCCTAAAATGATTCACATTCATCATCTCCATAATTTCAGAGCAGAAAATAAGACTTCTCCATCTCATTTGCATATTATAACTAGACGTACCTATAGCGCCTCGTTCGTTTATTAGAATTTTCTCAATATTATATTATTATTATTCGAATTAATTGTCTATATTGTATTATTGCTCAATATTTTCAGTTAATCTTATTATTTTAATTGGATTGGAGGTTCTCGTCTAATTGATTTAATAAAATCGTGCTATTTTTGTATTGTCCATCGCTAATTGTTTAATCGTATCGATCGGAAGTCCTTGTTATCACGTTACTATATTCGCCCAATTTATCGGGAATATTTTCGGACCTTTCGGATAATTTTGTTTCGGCTCAAGTCAAATTATTTTCGACCTATATGTGCTAATAAAGTTCAACCTTTTTAATTTATTCTCAGCCCAACTGATTAATTAGCTTCAGACCCAATTTTCCATTGAATTCTATTCGGCCCAAATTGAGTTAGAATATTTTTTGCCCAAAGAATGGAATTTATGAGCCCATTGAGAATGGAAACAGCAGCCTCATTCTCATTCTTTTTCCCCTCGTTCAAAATTCTGTCCCGATTTTTCAGGTGAGATTCTATCACGTTCATCCACCACACCCGCATAAGACTCGGCCAACAGAGGTTTTCATTCATTCTCCTCTCCTCTCCGTTATAAATCCCAGCATCCATCCGCCCCCAATATATCGATCAAATTCTTCCCCAAATCGCGCAGACTTCCAATCATCCTTAAGCCCCAGCCTTCGAGCGCCATTAAACCCAAGAATCGACGAGCAGCGGCCTTCCTCGTCCATTCGCGAACAGAACCGCCGACGAACCAGTCGAGAAATCCTCGTCGGCGACTTTCAACAGCAGCGGCCCTCCTACTGTCCGTTCGCGTCGGTCAATGAGAAGCGGCGGTCTTTTCTGAGGAATTCCGCCATCTAAAGTCGGAAATCGCCATAACCGCGAGACTGCCATCGACAGCCCCTTTTACCGGCGTACAGAGCAACCTCAGCAAACACCGAAACTGACCGAATTTTCCGACGCGTGCAAAATTGCGAACGGAGGCGAGTGACTACACGTTGCAGCGGTCGTCCTGTCTTTCAGCCGGAACAGTTGCAGCAACCCTTTGCCGTTCACCCGTTCCGCCGCAATCGCCGACGACCCCGCGAGCAGAAGCAGCCATGTTCGATTTTTCTTTTTTTTTCAGCAGCCGTGCGTGGCTGGCAGCAATCCCCCGTTCTTAGCCAGGCGTCTTCGAGCATCTCCCATAACCACACGCAAAGCCCGAGATGCGCATCAACATTCTGGACCCGCCGGCGTTTTACCGGGCATCATAAGCCGCCCCAGCCAACATCGAGAGTGCAACCGTTAATCCCGCCGCAGACATCCACCCTCAGCCACCATCGCCGCACCTGTGGAAGAAATCTGAAAACAGCCACGCCCTGTAGTTGCAGCCCGTGACATCCTCGGATCTGAAAATCGGAAATTGATTTCTGAAATTCGGGAGTTAGACATGAATTTCAAAAGATGGAGATGAGATAGAGAGAAAGGGGTGGCGAAATTTTGTTGTTCGGGAGAGAATTCGAAGGTGCTGCAATCGGCATAAAAGAAGAAGGAGAAGAAATGAAGTGACGGGGAAGAGTGTAATGCCTTGTTCGATTTATAGAATTTCTCGGAATATTCTATTTATCGAATATTATTTATACGGTTATATTTATTTTATTGGTCGCGATGTTGACTTAAATAAAAAGTTGGAATACTCGATTGTTTTATTGAAAAACATTCGTCGTTCGACGATTTCGGTTTAATCGCGTGAACCGATTGTAAACCCGTTTGACTTTGGAACTTTTGAGGATTTTTATTACTATTATTATTATTATTTATATTTAATTGATATTACTATTATTTATTGAATGGGGCGCCTCCGATTTGTACAAATCTGCAGAAAAAAATCGGCCAGGTGGCTAGGCGGCGCTAGGCGCTCCTAGGCGGCCAGGCGGTTAGGCGGCGTCTAAGCGGGCGTAGGCGGACTTAGGCGCTCCTAGGCGGTCTTTTGGTGGTTATACGAATTATTTGACGACTTAGAACTTGCAATACCGGGCGAGACCGATGACGAGAAGAAGCGCGAAACTTCTGATATTCGTACAAGAAAAGCTGTGTGTGACGTAAAAGACCATTGTTTGCGTGCGTAGCCTCCCTGCTCTCGCTCGCCCTAAGAAGGTTTTGTTCAATTGCTCTCTCTCAGAGAGAGTGATTGGTAAGACTCCACCTGTCTCATCCGATGTCGTGACCGGGAGGTGATGCTGCACTTATTCGAGAGAGACTGCATCACATTCTTCGGGACGAAGTCCCGGACAGTGAGATTGTCGGAGACGTTGTCGGAGCACTGGCCGGACGCCGGTTGATGGCTGCCGCCGGTCGCCGATGATCTGCCTGCGTCAGCCTGGGCTAAGATGAAGGGGTTTGGGGATTGTGTGAAAAAATCATAGGGAGTAGAGGTGCAAGGGAGAGGATTGTACAACTTCCAAAAGAAGCTGAGGAATGTGAAGTTAGGGTTGATTGGGTGGGCAGTTCGGGTTTAGGGTTAGGTCCTTTTATTGGTAGCCCGTTTAAGTTCGGGTTTTTTAGGCCCGGACCGTTTAGCCCGAAGCCCGCTACGGCTAGCCCGAAACTGCTAGGGCTAGCCCGTTTAACATCTCTATCGATTGGTGCTCGTATGTAGAAGAGGAAGTGAGGGATAAATCTTTCGTCGGAGCTAAAACAACGCCCTCGTACTGCAGCAGCTGACGAGGCATCTTTAGAGTATACCGAAACAGTATAGCTACCCTTCTTCTGACACAGCAACGCAATTGGAATCAATGTCGAAAGGGAGTGCTAACGAATTTCTTTCTTCGTCTTTCCAAAAATAAAGAGCCCTTTTCTTTTAGTCATGGGCGAACGACGGGAATTGAACCCGCGCGTGGTGGATTCACAATCCACTGCCTTGATCCACTTGGTTACATCCATTGGAGAATTTGGCGGATTTTTTTCTGGAAGCAATAGATTTTTTTCTGGAATCATAAAACAAACATCTTTTTTAGTTTTATAAATTCTTTTCAAATTCTTAGTAAGAATTTGAGTATTTTGATCCCTAAATTTTTACTAATATTGTCATTGTTTTTTTAAAATCTAAATTGTGTATTATCAACATATATATTATATATGTTTGTTTGGTTTATTTAATTATGCGGTTTAATTTATTGAGCCCGAGAAAACTGTATTACTTCTACGTAGTCGGGCCCGAGAGCCAATTCGTTTCATTGAACCGAACCCGCGAGCCCGATAATCTGGCCCAAGTCCGAGCCCAACCCGCATGTGTGTGTGTGTGTCTTTGGGCAAGACATTTAACCTATACGTATATGTATATATATATATTGAGAGAGCTCCTTTCTTTTTCACGTTCTCAAAAATCAGAAACCCTCCCACAGCCTCTTTCTCCTTTGCTTTCGATCGCTAGTGTTGAGCAGGGAAGAGAAACTCTTTCATAATGTTTGATCGATCCCATTCTCATCGTCATCCCTTCACCATCATCGCTGCAAATCCAATCGCACCACCACCATCTCCGAACTTCTTCGCTGCCCCCTCGCCGGGAACCACCACGGACCAGCGGCGACCCCGACGGCCACTTCCGATGAAGTCCAGCAACATCCGCGACCACGAGCCACCACCACAGCAACCTCGCGAATTCCGGCGAGTCCCGTTCACGACGTTGCAGCAACTCCACCGCCGCGACCAACCTTCCTCCGGCAGCGTTCCGTTCACGAACAGGCCCAGCAGCAACCCGACGAACTCCGGAAAGCCTCCATCGCTGCAAGCCGTCGACCATTCCCTCCGGCAAGTTCGGCGGCCATCTCTGGTGAACTGGGAGCACGCAGCAGCCACCCCCTTTGGGCGAGCCGCTGTCCTCTCGTGAGACGTGTTGCGTGTTCGAGCCCGCCAACCTTTTGTTTTGTTTTCGTTCGATTCCTAAGAACGGTACAAGGCTTGACCCGACTCATGTATTTTTGCGTGATATTATGTTCTCGATTATGTGAATGTGTTCGTTTGACGTGATATCTCGAATCATATGTGCTAGTATATGATGATGTGTTGCTATTGAATGAGAATTGTGAAAATTGTGTTATATATTTGCGAATTGAATGTCAAAGTGATTGCCGTCACTTTGAAAAATTGTCGAACTGAATATATGTGGTTTGTTTCGTGGAAATCCTGGAGTTATAGGTACTTGGAGTTGTTCTTGATCTGTTAATTTTGGTCTGAAGTCGTTTCGAGTTGTATTTTGGGAGTTATGATATTTCTAACCCGAGCATGCTGCTGAATCGTAATAAATTCACCATAAATCGAGTTGTTTTCTGTTTGAGCTGAATTTTTGATATTTATGCCTCTGAGTATGTAAAATGTGTGTGCCAAGTCCCTGAATTTATTTTTGAGTTTTTCAAGTTCAAATGTTTAAAACGGTTTCTGAGCCGAAACTTGTAAAATTCATTAAAAATTGTACACTTAGAGTTTTGAGCTGAAACTTTCAGGAACCTGTTGTTTTAGGATGTTTTAGGTTGTATAAAAATTTCATACTGAAACTCAAAGTGTAGCTATGCGAACTATTATATGCTGGTTTTGACGCTGTTTTGCTTAATATTATTTAAAAATGTTCCCGGATGAATTTAGGGCTGAAACTTGGTGAGCTTATGTGTTTTTATTTGATTTATAATGTGGTAAAGTATGCCTGTGGAACATGTATCCTTCGATGTGAGCTGTACCGACCGTCGAACGGTTATCCCCGTGACTATAGAACGTACCCGATGGGTAGTCTCCTTTAAATTATGTTATGTATGGCCGTAAGACCGAGGCGTAGGCCACGGCTGGTGATCTCCGCTTTGTAAGACCAATTCGTAGGTCTTCGCCGGGCGGGGTGGATTACTCCTACTGGCTGGGCATCGTTGTAAGACCAAGGCGTAGGTTTTGGCATTCGAATCGAGTATCAGCAGTAGTCTATGCGTAGGTGTGCACATGAGAGTTGACTCTGGGATAGGAGATGGGATAATGAATTGATTCGAAGACATGCTGAGACCATACCTTATTGATTATTGATTACTGTTTCATTATTGAGAATAATGTTTACTGCAAATGGTGAGCACTACTTTTTCCTACTGTGCTCATCCCCACCTGAAATTCACGTTTCAGGTTAAGCGAGGCAGGCACGATGGCAAAGTAGAGCGAATGGTGGTCGGTCTATATGATCGGTCTTATTATTTGTTATGCTTCCGCCTTTATGAATTCTGGATTTTATGACTATGAACTTGGATTATTATTGCATTTATGAATTTGGATATTATGACTTGAATAATGTTAAGGAGATGGTCCTTAAAATTTATGAATGTTATTGAAACCCAGTTTGGGTGACTTATGAAATTTGGAAAACCCGTTTGGGAGTTAGTAAAATTGATGATTGATATTGATATTGATAATTGATTTAATATTGAGAAATTGGATAAGTATTGAAGTTTGTTTTGAAAATGAGTAGCGCCTCAGGTATTTCGAAATAAATTTGAAAAGTTTATTCTGATTTTCGACAAATAAAAGTGGGGCGTTACAGTTTGGTATCAGAGCCAGTCTGTGTTTCTGTAGACTGGTATAGTTGAATTATGTGAACTCTGTGAAAATATGTGATGTAAGTTATGACCACTCGCTTCCGTCGTCCCTCGCCAACTCAGGTATGAGATTCCTGATTAAGTTTAATTGATTATGTTGCCTGATTTATGGATAGAATGATATGATGTGAAATATTGGGATATTATGATATGTAAACCGGGGCATAGGAATTTATCCTCCTACTTCTAAACGTTTTGGAACTCTAGATGGGTGGCGAACCTTAATTGTATGAACTTGAACTCTAGCGATATAGAGTTAAGTTCTACCTTGAGGTTTTGTTTGTTTAGAAATCTGGTGTGGTGTTATCGAGCTGAGTTCTATGTATAACAGTCCTCTCGATGCATTTTTGTGTCTTCGGAAGAGGACCATCAGCGAGCAATTTCCAGAGCCAGCAGGACTTACGAGGAGCATCTTGAACCGATTATGAAAACAGTGAATCGTAGACTCGTGATGACGAAGCAGTCGTGCTGCCTTTCTTAAATTCTTCTCTTCTTG